GGCACCAAGGCACCAAACCTGCGATTCTAGGCGCGCTCTGTCTCCCGTCCGTCCTCCCTAAGCAGCGAACCACCTCGAAATTTTCTCCTTTTAAAGAGCAGATCGGGGAGCACGGGTCTTCCGGTTTGTCGCTCGGCGAGTCTGCTGTCCTTTGCACGGTCCTCCCGGGCCCCGGACAAGCCTCGCTCCTGGGAACCTGCCCACTCCCGGCCCCTCCCTCGTGGCCTCCCCTCTCCTGCCCACGTCTTGTTGGCACAGCCCTGAGCGTCTGCTGAAGACCACATACAGGCTCTGCGTCCCCACGTAAACGGTGACGGCATGACATCCGCAGACCTGGCACGGCCCCTACTGCCCGTGCGCGGTCTCTGAACACTGCCTCCCAGAGACGGAGCCGAGGCTGCCGAGGGAGGGGGTGGTCCCCTCCAGGGCGGTGACCATCCCGTCCCGACGAGCCTGGGCAGGCCAATCCTTCTGAAAACGAGGTGGTTACTGAAGGCTCGGGCGGTGCAGGGGGCACCGAGCCCGTGTGAGGTGTCGCTCTGCCCGGATGCGGGGCTGTGGAGCAGCTGCGGGTGGTGACGCTGGTACTGAACTTGGGGACTTCATGGAGGTTGCTAGGGTACCCGCCCATCCCCCGGGAGGGGATGATTGGCCCCGTGCCCCGCCGTCTGGCCCTCTGCCGGGGGCTGGGTCTGGGGCAACAGGGCAAGGGAAGGGCACGCAGGGGTCAACTACAAATCACTGCCTGGCACCCCAAGAAGAGAGGGGACTCCAGCAGTGGTGACCGGTGGGGGTCAGTCCTGGGGCGAAAGCTCGCGGGGGTCGCCTGAGCACAGAGGTGGCCTCCACTCTGGTATTGGCCCCCAGATTTCCTAGAAATTCTCACTGAACTATTTCAATCGCGAATTGGCATAAAGTGTGTAACACGCGGTGCTCTCGCTTTCCACCCGCCACTGCACGGACACGTGAGAGCCGAGCCAGCCCTCTGCCCACCCCGGTCTCAGCCCGGCCCGCCCGCAGTCACGGCCAGTCGCACGAGACGTCCTCTCTGCGCACAGTGAGAGCCTCCGCCCCTCAGGTGCCTGCCCCGACCCCCCGGCGCCCCGAGCTCCCAACCTGACTGAAAGGTGACCTCACTGAACATCAGCCAGGTGTCGGCAAAGTGGTACTGGCATTTGATGGCGCTGGCCATGCGGTGGTGGAGGGGCACCGTGACGAAGCGTGCGCTGGGGTTGACGTAGTCGAGGACGAGGGGGAAGGACACGGCGTTAGGCTCCCACTCGCTGGCTTCGGAGCGGAAGTAGCACTGCACCTCCTTGAAGGTCTTGACGCCCTTGCCGAACATGTTGTTGCAGTGGACCTGGCGGGGAGCGGGCGTGAGCCACCGCACACGCACGTGGTGTCACAGGGGGCCTGGCGGGGAGCGGGCGTGAGCCACCGCACACACACGCGCACACTGTAACTCACAGTATGGAGCTCACAGACACGGGTTAAACTTCCCCGCTCTACCACCGGCCCTGGCTCTCGCCCTTGGTCACTGACCCCTGTCGGGCAGAGTCACAAGACCCCAGAGAAGGGCCAGAGCCGGGCAGAGGGCTGGGACCCTGACGCTGGCCCAGCACCTCGTCCTGCCTCGCCCCGTCTCTCCTTCAAGTGCTCGTTACAGTTAGGACGAGGCTGTTTGCCAGGGTCTTACTCCTGTCCATCGTCCTGCCTCCCTCCACCCCCGGTGGCAGAGACCTTGGTGACTGCAGGCAACGGGACATTGTGACTCGCTCACCCATAGACACCTACAGACCTGGCACATAGTAAGTGCCAGGTACAGAGACCAGATAGCAGAGCCACGGCCTAGAGCGGCCTGAGGCCCAGCGAGAGCCAGACACGTGCCGACGGCCGCTGCAGGTACGAGCTCTGGGGCAGCGGGCTGGAGCTCCTCCCGCGAGGGGCCAGCGCTGTGGCTGGAGGAAATGCTCAGGACCGTGGAGTGGGTCAGAGACCAGCCCCCCGCCCCCCGCTTCGGGAATCAGTCGCAATGAGCCACCCGCCCGCAGGAGCAGCCGCCCCGGGCAGCGGGGCAGGGACACACAGTGGCCACCATGGCCCTCAGCCCTTTTGCCTCTGTGGCCCCTCCCTCGCAAAAACCTATTAAAAGTATATCGTACGGCTGTGTTGTTAAAAACAGAATAATTCTTGACCCTAAAGTTACTTTCCTTTCTTCTGGCATTGAAAGGAGGAATGCCATTTTCACAGGCCTTAGAGGGATCAAGGACCGTAGGGACTGCGTCTAAGGGACATGTCACCTCCACTGTTGGGACGATGACAGGAGCAGAGAGGAACAGTGGCCTCGTCCAAGGCCTTGTGCACCCGTGACGAGAGGCCGGACCTGGAAACCCACTTGTGCGTGAGCCGCGGGGCTGTCTGTGGCGGTTCTGCGGGCAGCACCCCAGGCGCCTTCCCGGCCCCCACCCGCGGCCCTGGCTTCCCCGAGACCCCCACCCGTGCCCCCTGACCTTCATGGTGGTGAAATTCCTGACGCGGTCGAATTCAAACACGATCTCGACGTAGCCATCGGTGGCGCTCTCGTTCCTCCAGCCCACATAGTCATAGCCAGGCCACACGTGGTACTCGTGCGTCTGCGTGAAGTCGTCCAGGCCGGACACCCCGTCCGTCAACTGGCCCAGCCCTTCGGTCATGCTGCTTGCGGAGGAGGGGCGGGGAGAGAGGGACCTGCGGTCAGTGACCCGCTGGGGGCAGGGCTGTCACCGCCCCTTCTCCTGGCTCTGTAAAAGCCGCTTGCTGTCTTGGAGGTTGGAGGATTACGCAAAACCAAAGATATTTTACCGTGTGGACACATTTATCCTGCGTCGGCAGAGAAGTAAGAGTTTCACAGATGTGAATTTTACAAAATGTTTGGTGCCGACCCCTCCAGGAGTGAAACCGTCGACGGTATTTCCGCGCTGCCTGTGATGAGACGTCTTCACAGCGCACGTTTCCCTGTGTCCACCCAGCGCTCGGCCGCCCCACCCAGCGCTCGGCCACCCCACCCCGACGTCACGCTGCCTCGGGCAGTGATCGGAGCCGCTGCGTCCGAGTCCCTGACAGCTTTCTGCCTTCCCTCGGAGGCGGAGCCACAGTCCGGTCACCTGCCTCACCTCACCACGCGACTGTCCCCCAGTCCCATAAGCTCATGTCCTATCGCCTTGCGCCCCTACTCTCCACCCGGGCCCCCCTTCCTGTGGACTGTGCTTCTCTCCGGCTCTGAAAGTACCAGCTGCGTAGTGAGCACACGAAACACACTCGTTGAATCCAGTCAGCTGGACTGCCATGTTTCATCAGCCACGTCCTGCCACATGGCAGATGCCACCTAAGCAAATGTCCCTCGTCATTCTTGCCACCACAGCCACACCGTGGCGTGGCCCTTAGTCACCGCCCCTCCTGACATTCACGTTCCCCCAAAGCCTGAGTCATCTGCCTTGTGGGGCCTGGCCTGCACTTCGTTACACGAGTGCAGCCGTGGCTGACGAGCCACTGCTGGCCTTCCCTTCAGACTCTACGGCCGGTGTCCCTTTGTCCTCGGGCTACTCCTTCTGCCGAAATGCCACTGCAAGACCCTTTGCCTGGGACACGTCCATGCTCCAGCTAGGGCCGTTCCTGCTTCGCCTGTTCCGTCATGCTTTCGCCGGCCCTCCGATCAGATAATCACCTATGTGTGTGTCTAGGTCCTCACCTGTACAGGTGCTTAGCTCTGTTCATCACACAAGCCCCGCAGCAAACAGGAAGCAAATTATCACCTGGCCAGGTGTCCTTGCTCCCAGAGCTGTGCCTCCCTCTCTGGCCCCTGCTTTCCTGAGCACAGAGCACACACGGACATCCCTGCCCACAGCCCACGCCGTGACCACGTCCTGGTCCAGCCCCGCTCGTGACCGTGGGCCTCCTGAGGGAGGACCGGTGGCCCCAGCACGCTGAACACCCACTGTGGCCGCCAAGCCCCTTGCAATCCTAACCACGGGTGAGTAAAGACCTGTCATTCCCAGCTGGGGTGGCCGCTTGTCCCTCGCGCCTGAGCCAGGATGTCGCTGAGACTCCACACTCCTGTCCCTGAGACACGCCAGCCTCCCCATCTCAGCCACCAGCCCCCCATGTCCAGTCTGGCCTCACCCCGCCTCGCCCCCTGTCAGGCCGGCGTCAGCGGATAGAGATGGAGCTGAGAGGGATGGGGCGTGGCAGTGGGCGGGAGGTGGCGAAGACGCAGGCGAGGACCATCCCTGCACCTCGCCCTCCACGGGTCCTGCTGTCCCCAGCCGTAGCCTCACAACAGCCAGGCCACCCTCGGCCCTGCCCCGCTCCTCTCCCGTGCTCTCCGACCCACGTCCTTGGCTCCAGTGACCGTCCTCGTCTGTGGCAGCCTCACTGCCCCTTTCTGCCCTCCGCCTGGTCGTGGGGACGTTCCCCCCGAAATCCTCGCCCCGTCTCGTTCAGCACACTTTTGACTTCGATCCCCCTGGCCCTTCGTCCCCGCAAGCGGACCATTCACCACTCCCGTGTCAGACCACAAATCCTGTTTCAAGGGTCGGCAAATTCGGCTGCTGTTCCCAGAGCCACACCCCGGAGTGGGCTGGGCTCCGTGCCCTTCGTCGCCTCCCTGTCACTGCTTCGTGTCCCCACCCTGGGCTCTGCGTTCCCGGCAAATGAGGACCACGTGTTTCTCTTCATCTACCTTATCTCACACTGCCCAGCACAGGGTCTGAATCAACACCGGCTGGCTGATTATTGATCCCAAGCCATGATAAAATGTGATTCTGCTTCGTGGCGATGTCCCCATTCTGAGGACCAGAGTTCCCAGAGTTTACCTGTACCCGACGGCTCCATCGTAGACAGAATCGTTCAGGTAAATGACGGCACCGCCAGGGAGCACAAACTGCTGTCCAGCGGGGGCGTTGTATGACACCAAGCCGTCTGCCGAGGAGACACAGATGGTCAGCGCCTGCCGCTCAGACCGACCACCCCAGGGAGCCACCCGCGGCTCCAAGGTGCCGCCAGGGCGGCATGTCCACCGGGACTCCACGGGCCCACGGGGGCCCCGCCGAGGAGCTGTCCGTGGTCGCGGTCAGCAGTCGCTGGCCGACAGCCCTGCCAGCACGGGCACCAAGCCCTGGCAGATGACGTTCCTGCCGTTCCTCTAACCAGCGGGGTCACCGGACGAGGGGCTACGTGGGACCCCCTTTCTTCCCAGGCTGGGCTCGGGACGGGCTGTCCGGGCGCCCTCTCCCGGGACCTACCGAGCCAGACGCAGCCGTACAGCTCCACCCGCATGCACACGTTCGTGGAGTGGTCCGTGACGGGAATGAAGCGGACGAATCTGGCCACGATGGGCGGCTCCAGGTCCTTGAGGAGGATGTCGTAGGGGTTACTGTTCCCGTCCAGCACCTGGGTGAGGGGGGCGTGCAGTGAAGTGACGCCGGCCCCCCTCCTCACGTCCCCACCCCTGCGGGGCCCTCTCTCTTAAGCCAGGGGCAGGATGAACCCGCACAGCTGCCTGGGGGGCCCCGTGGGTGCCCTCGACCCCCACGCACCCCGCCCGGTCACGTTTCCGAGGGCACGCGAGGTCCGCGGACGCCCGGCAGCCTGTGTGCTTCCTGGGCCGGGTGGCCCTGGCCCCCGGGGTCGGGACGTCCCCCCCACCTGCTTCCCATGCCGGTTCCGCCAGGGGATCCAGCGAGTGCCGTCCCGGCTGTAATTGATCTTGTACATGGGGGCGAACTCGATGCCGTGGCCCCCCGCGTGGCGGCCCTGGGTCCCCACCAGGGTGATAAAGTGCAGGGCGTGCAGGTCGATCTGCAGGAACTCCTTCAGGTCGTCTGGCTCCACCGGGGCCTCGGGACACCAGGCTCCGTCCGCCTCCTCCGAGTCCAGCCTGGAGAAGCGGGGTGCGGGGAGGGGGTGGGTGGGACCTCAGCCGCCCTGTCCTGGGGACAGTGGCCGGAGTGCGTCCAGGCAGAGCCCTTGGGGACGGTGGCCAGAGTGCGTCCAGGCCGAGCCCCCAGCGAGCGGACCCGCAGCACTGGGGAGCCCGGCGCCAGGCCCCCACTCCCTGGCAGGTGGCCTTGCTCACGCTGTCACCTCCTCACCGTCGCCCCTTCCACCCGCCGACCGCTGCTCCCCTCGGGGGCGTGTACCGGGGTGCAGTCTCATGGTGCCTCTGTCTTAACAGAACCAATGCTTCGCGCCAGACAATTAGGCTCCACGGGGACCCTGGGCCCTGGCAAGTGGGGCGCTTTGACGGAGGCTTGTGGCTTCAGGGGCCCCGATACGTGACCACGAGGAGCCCGCCTCTGCATGGGGACGAGACGGCCTCCTCCGTGGGGGCCCGTGACAGAGAGGGACCCGGCCGTGGCCGCGCTGTCCGCCCAGGGCCCCACGCTGAGCACTGCAGGTGATGCCTCTCAGACCCCACTGCGGACAGCACGGTCCCTGACCCCCAGGCTCCTGCCCAATCTGCACCCCACAGCTGCCCCGCAGCCTCAGGGAGAAGGCGGGAAGCCTCTGCTCGGCGCAGGCCCCATGCTGCGTGTGGGGCTCTGCAGCCCGTGCCGGCGGGGAGGGGTCTCCAGACCGGCCGGCCCGACCCTCGCCCTGGGATGTCCTTGCCCAGTCCCGCAGCCCCCACTGCCCCTGCCTTCCTTCACCGGCCCCCGGGGCAGGGTCTGTGCCAGGAAGCCCGTCCAAACGGAGCCCAGGCTGGCCATGGCGTCCAGCCTCACCTTCCGTACTTGGCAGCTGTGGACTCCGACCACTGGCTGGAGGCTGAGATGTCCTCGTCGGGAATGCGGCCTCCTGACATGCCCAGAGGGTAGCGGCATGCGGCTGGACCAAGAGACAGCAGGGGGCGCGCCTTAGTCAGGGGCTGTGGAGCCGGCGATGGCTGGCGCCCGCGGCCTCCCGCCTCCCGGGTCCCTCCACGCCGACGGACCCCCCGCCTCTCTCGGCC